CAATTCATATGTCAAGAATTCAGATTTTTAGACTACGAACTAGAGATTTTGTGATTTGCCTGATAATATTTTAATTCTTTAGTTATTGAAAGGGTGTTTTAATAATAAACAATTTCCAATTCTGGCCTCTTAAAAGTGCATACTATAATATGATGAAAAGTCATCTTAAAATGAAAAGTCATCTTAAAACGAAAATCTAAAATGGTTAGCTCGCACTTACACGCTTTTTCCTCCCTGCAAAATCTCTCTGTGATAAAATCGACAAGAGTATGTTCAAAAATACTGCCTCAGCAGAACTGCTGTTTACAACGAGAAATGTGTTTGCTGCCAGCTCTCCTCATGTTTAGTACCTCCCCGTTCGCCGGACAGATTATTCTACATTTTCTCAACTTTGCATAAAAGTTCACTTTTAAATCGTTTGATTTTGCCTTACCAAAGTAAGAAGCAAACATAGCAAAAATGAGTTTCACCTGAGTTATTCTGCTTACAGTTGTGAGCATCTGCATTCAACCTTCACATTTTTGGTGCTGCCCGTGCCGCCCGTGCAGTCCCTAGCACTTCTTTCTCCTGGTTCAGTTCTCCTTCTCCAGAGGTAGTACGGCGGGGCAGGGCTGGGGACAGACGTGGTTCTTAACATCACTTCTGCACAGAAGAGCACTGGTAGCGCTGGCAAACTCAGCAGACATATCTATAGCAGGAAAAGGGTGCGCAACGTATATTAAAACATAAGCTACCGTCTTAGAATACAGCGGATCAGCCACGGTTTCAACACACCTTAGATCTACGAGTCAGCAGGTTTCATTCTGCTGGTTAATTAATCATTCAGCAGCTTGCCTTTCTGGCACAGGTAAAGGCTATCTCTTCCCGGGAGAAACAGCGCAGTGCGAGTCCTCTCTTCATGAACACGCATGCTTTACCCTGTTTCACATGGCCGCAGAACTTTTTCAAACTCACTCCTCTTGGTTTGTTAGGACCCAACAGCCTCAAACACTATTCTTGTTTCAAAAGGGATACGAGGATATTCTTTTTAGTTTCAAAAAGGAATTTTCTTGATGCTCCTTAATTCCTAGTTACCAAAATTCACCATCTATTTAATTTAAAAATCCCCCCTAAGTTTATGCTAGTTCTGCTCAAATGCTTGTTATTTGATTCAGTTTATTTTGCTAAGGTCACTCTACTCACATTGACCTTCTAAAAAAATTAATGATTGGCTTGTCTCTAAATCCAAAGGTCTTGCTTCTTCTTCTCTCCTCAACTTATCAGCTAGTTTTGGACCTTTGGATCATTCTTTATCAACTCAGTTTACATAGTTTTTCTGACTCTGCACAATACTTCTTTTCCTAAGTACTACATATGTTTGATGCTTTATAGAGTCCCTAAAATTGCCCTTGCCATCATTATAATGAGCTCTGTGCTGAATGCTCTACCTTTTTTTTTTTTTTTCTTTCCCCTCTGCTGGACTGCATTTTTTCTGCTCACATTTTTTTCAGTGAAAATATTCTTTGCCATATCTCAAAGGTCTGTTTCTTCCTTTCCTAGGGGTAGTTTCCCCTGGACATAAGCCAATCTTCATTCGAGACAATCAAAGCAGAAATTCTTTCCTTTTCCTAATTGGCACATTTGTGGTCTGACCTTGAAACTGTTACTCATCGTAAATAACATTTTCCTTCCAGCGTTCATTCAGCAGCAGTCATCTGACCCCCGGATTGCCCTCACACGGGCCTTGATACCTGCAATGCTGTCCACACACTGACCATCTAAAATGCACACGAGTGGTATCCCTACGCTTCTTTCATCGCTTGACCATCTTCTGAGTCACTTGAAAAAAATGTCATTTGTCTCCTTAAAGCAATCACTTACTTATCTTTCTCTGCTTATAGCTTTTTATTCCTTAACACCCAACTACAGACTTCACACAGTTCGCGTTTATGGTGTATGGAAGTGTCATTCCTCACAGTTCCCTCTTCGGCATCAAAATGAGAGCCCTCTTGCTTTTTGTGTACTAGGTAGCTCTTTATATTCTCTTCTTCCTTTTCTGCAAGAAGGGCTCGATCTAGCAATGTACGTTTTAAGTGTGACGTAAATCATGGAGAACAACACCAGTCATGATTATTCAAATATAAATAAAGCCAAGTTCATTCATTTAAATACAAGAAAGTTACTTAAGCATGTGGTTGACTAAGCAGGTGTCGAACTCTTTGGATCAAAAATCTTATTATAAAGATCACATCATTAATGTTATTATACACAATCACTAGAATTATTACAACACTTTGAAAGCTCAGCTCAGTACCCAAAAGCTTTATGATTATTTTCAAAATTATGTGCTGATCTAGTAAGGATAATTTCTTCCACTGCTAACCTCACCTCCGTATGGAATTTTGACTTGAAACAGGAACAGGAGCTTCACATCTCTATTGCTGGGATCTGGCCTATAAAGATCAACTACCAAGTCGTCTTTTTTTTTTTAATGGGACTCTATGCATTTTTTGTAATACACTATCCATCATTTTTGAATGACATAAGGTGCCTTGCAGGCTTATATAAAACCATCTCATTCTGATAACTAGGTAATCCATTTCAAGCAATGTGGTTCCAGTTAACAAAGAACAACACTCTGGGCCAACAGCATCAGAGAAAGTATTAAAATTCTAGTTTAAAATGATAGAATCAGAAAAAGCCACAGGAGACATGCAGTGGAGAGGAGTTAACCTTGGCAACAAGGCCAGTGTTAGTGAAGATCAAAGTATAAACTCAGCTATGTTTTAGGACAGTATCCAGTCTCAGTCTCACGTCTCTTTTTCTCGAACACATACCTATTAAAGAAACAGAAGTCTCAAGGGATTATACTACTGCTTAAATGCGAGTTTCAGTCAGTCCAGGAATTGAGGTCCTGCCTTTCAGAGCATACATTGTTGCTTATATAGCAACATGCCTGAAGCACTTGAGGGACATGATGTTTAAGGTTAAGGAACAGTTTACCCTTTCTTACCAGTATTTCCGTTATATTACTGATTAAAACAATTTGATGTAAGATACCTGGTGTGAGCTGGTCTTACCATTTACATATATTCAACAGTTTTTACTTATCCTTACTTTTACTTACAGAAACTTACTCTGTTCAGCAACACAAATGCGAGAGACTTCAGTTCCTTCCAGTGCCTTGTCAAGGCTAAATCCCAGCAGACTACACCACAAGAAGAGAATTTGGCACAGCAAATCTTATCTGTTAGCTATCAGGAACAACAGAGAAGAATCCAGCATGCTTCTTAGAAAGCAAGTTTCAAACTTCCTGAAGTTCAGAAGTCTGGATTGTTCCAGTTGGGAAGAATAAAAGTACCTCAAAATACTTAAATGACTTTTATTTTTCCCTCCTTTAAGCTCATAATTTTGTTGTCAACTCTGAGCTCTAAAAAGAGTCAAAATGTTTTGTTGCATGTAATTAAAACATTTTTTTATTTTAACGTATTTCACTTTAACTTGTGACTTATAATAAGAGCTGAAAATCATTGTGCTATTTTTGAAGTTCTTTGAAAGTTATTTTGATTTTAATTAAATAATACAAAATCTTGCTTTATCTTTCTTCACACTCAAAAGAAAGATATAATTAGATTTAATCCCTTATCCAACCAAACAAGCTACCTATGTAAAATGGCAGGAAATTTTCTCCCTAATTCCAGCTTCACTGAAACCAATTTAATCTTTAAATTTGCTGACAAACTCTACACGGCTTCTGCCTTCTTTATCTTTTATTGTTATTGAAGGACAAATCCTGTTGTTTTCTCCAAACGCCAATTCTGGGTACTTTTTGGAATATTTTCCGTTCTTGCTTGTCAGGACATCTTCACCGTGTGACATGCTGAAGGGCCAAATTCTCCATCAGACTGAATGCAACCTGCTACCATGGAGTTTCAACTACAGAGTGAAACACTTACTCCTATAAGAACTAGGTAAAACTAATTTCCTTTCTTTCTGTGCAATTCATACGGTAAATAGCAAATATAATCATGAACTAGATGGTGTTTACCGTAATCAGAGATCAGAATTTATAAGGAAACTCCATTATGTAGATACACTGCTATCTAATAGCTCTGCAACCTTTCTGCTAGTTGGGGCCCTCAGGGGGTCTTTTTATTCCTATCCAGCTAGCTACTACCATGAAACTGGTAGGAACTTAATACCATTGAGACCTATGACCCTTTCTCAAATTTGTCTGAAAGTAGCCAGCAGGTTCAAGTTACAGGGAGGGGAAGGAGAGAACAGACACAGACATACATGCACATACATAGCCCCTGGTCACATAACCTTACGTTCTTAGGAAGCAAGACTAAAACCTTCCTTGTCTTTAAGAAATCAAGAGATTGAAAAATGTCTCCTGTTTGAAAGCAGATGACCTATGTAGATGTTTCCTATGTGAAACTTAGGTAGCAATAGATCAAAATTTTTTAAGATTGTTAGCACACTGGTATGATTTAATTTGTAGTGTATTATTTTATTTCATTTATGCAAACATTGCTCTTCATATCTTTGTTAAAATGTCTTTAAAATGTCATTGCAAAATGCAATCACATCACACATACGATCAAAATGCATTTCAACATACGGAATTCAAATGAACGTATCAATATTAATGTGTATTGGACTAAATTTCAAGCATGTCTGATAACTTAGGAAATTATTGAATTACTTTTTTTGGAACCAAGTAGCTGGAATACTAGAAAGCTGTCGAGAAACACAGTTACGTGTCCCAACCCAAAACAAGGCTCAGTAACTGAGCAAAGGAAACAGGACAGGTAGCAGAGGTGCATATATGTGAAGGGCAGGACACCGGCCAGCGAGGAGACAGAAGTTGCAATTGAAATAGCAAACACAGTGACAGAGCTCTGGTGAGATAATCGTTAGACAAAACTTTCGGCTTAAAAGTAGTAAAAAAAATTGTTTGTAACTTTGAGAAAATAAAATAGTCCTTGTTGACTGAATCCAGCTGATTTCAGGAAGATGGAACTTTCCACTGTCCTTCTGGCTACTCAGAAATCACGTTACATCATAGAAATGACTGATTTAATAATTAATTTATTTTCCTAACAGAGCTCGCAGAAATCCACATTCTGACTAGCTACACTGTATGTGCCACAAACATGAGTGCCAACATACCTACAAATACCTGTTTTAAATTTAGATGCCATGTTTCTATTCTAGAAAGGCGACAGAGCTGAAGAAAGTTCTATGAAGGCAAGGGATTTGGTGATCACAATCCGTGACATTTTACACTGTCATTTCCAGAAGGCAGTGCTGTGCTGACTACTGAAAAATGCAGGAGGTTCGTGCAGCAAAAGGCACGTCACTTGGTGGGATAGATTTCATTCAGACCAGTATTTCCATGTATACAGTAACACGATCTGCCAGCATTTTCTAGAGTCACTACTGTGACGATACTTTCTCTCAGGGCTGCCAAGTGAACTTCATGGCTCTAGGAAATTTGAAATCTCTTGAATCTCAAATATATGGTCTTGCGACATAGCCTGTTATACATTAGAATTTAAATTTTGAAAACTGCTTCACATCTTTCCTGAAGAACATTTACAGTAATTATGAATATAACTTTGCTGTGCCTTTGAAATAACAACTGCATCCAGTTTTCTTCTCAGTCCCACTAGAGTTAAAATTGCAGCCACATCACATTATACATCTGACAACAGTTTCAAAAATTCTAGTTTCTTTAACCATTCTATGAATGGCAACTGCAAGTAAGCTACTGGCCTCCGAATGTGAAGGGGGTTTGCATAATTTTTGCAACAATACTTCACATTTGTTCCAGAAGCCTTGGCTATCCAATAACCTCTCATCCATCCCAAGCTTCCAGGAGAGGATAGCCCAATGCACCACAGTTATTTGACCCCTGCTTTAGGGAGAATGCTTCAAAAAACAGCTTTCCTCTGCTTCTCCAGTCTACACTGAACCACAGAATGCCTTGAAGAGACTCCCTGACAAGAGGAGCAAGCCACAGAACCTCAGCCGCTCTGCGCCATTTCGGGAGCTTTTGAATATTCCTTTTGACAGACAAGCAATCACTCAGTCACTATGTGCTAGCACGTGCATGCAGTTTATTCCTGTGAATGAGGGTGGAGTACCCTTAGACTAAACTAGATGGCAGATCTTGTCTATTCAGTTCACTACTGCTCAGGAAATAAGGCTGTGAGAATAAAGCCTCTTTTTTACCCCTCCCTTTTTCTAGCAAAACACAGTTCTTTGATAAGCACATTCCATCACTTGATGCCCTTCTGGCAGCATCTATGAACGTTGCTCATATCGTAATGCCTCTGAGAAGTTTGCAGAGTATCAGCTTGCCTTGATGGTAGGATAGTAACAAATTATACACGTAGGGTTTGATTTGAGTGTCTCCTGCAGAGGATTTCATAAACTCAGCGTGAGTTTTATGCTGAATCTGATTCAAGCCGAAAGTTAGTGGTTAAAAAAAACACTGGATTTGGACATATGGATGTCACTTACTCTTCCATCACAAATGAAAAAAATGGAAAAGTCAAAATTTGGTAGAAAGGAGTAATTTTAAATTCTCCTGAGGTTAAGGCTCAGCTAAGCTTTTTGCTTAATCCTTACCCTTTCTTCTCCCCTTGGCTATTCAGTTCTTGACAAATAACAAGCCCTCAGCAGGGAGGAGAGAGCAAGTTCCTTGCTTGTGATGACTAGGATACCTGTACTAACCTCTCTGAACTAAATTCTGCTGACATAGCTCTGGAATGAGTTGGGCTCTGTATCTGTAATGAACTAAGAGAATTCAAAATCTGTTTATGGGATGGAAACATTTTCTCAGCTCCACGAAAGAGAATTAAGCAAGGCTCACTTTGGAGTTTCAGTATTAGATGAGAGAATTCCGGAGCTTTGACAGCTCCCTTCCCTAATCTTGAAGAGTACATCTGTTCTGATGAATCCTAATCATGTCCATCCAAGGAAGATGAGGACGGGCTCAGTGCCAAGAATTTCTTTACCATCCAACACCAGGAATCTCTCACATGTCAAATGTATGCATTAGAATATTACAATTTTGTTCCTAGAATTTCATACCAGTTGCTTCCAACATCTTTGCAACAGAAAGATGAGTCTCACTATGATTCAGACAGCTTCACCTAGAATTTCTTCAGTTAGTCATAAGTGAGCAAAGAGCTAAGTCTAAGCTCACCACTCAATACAAAATAGTTTAAGATTTGTAACTTCAATAGCCTAGAAACTAACACAGTATTGTAAGGAGATTTGGTGAGCAACTTTCTAGCAAAACAAGTTCTTAATTGCAAAATGACAATTTCTCGAAATGGAAAAGTTTCACTAAGAGGTTTTAGATCCAACACATTTAGGTAGAACAGATGCAAGGTTCCCTGTCTTTCCTCCACTTTATGCTCCAGTTTTCCATGCAGGCTGCTGGGAAGACAGACACTCACAGTCTGCTGTCAGTGCTACACGTACACTGCAAGCCTTCTGCTTTGCAGCGAAATGGTTCCAACTAGAGCTACTAGAGCCTTATGAAGACATGGTCCTCTCTCAAAATACCATATATGCTTCTGACCAGTGGGCTAAACTACTAAGTGGTGATACGCAGGTTGGAGTAGCTAAGATCCATAGCTACTAATTGCAGACATAGTAACAGTATTGGCATTTCATGCCACCCTACTAACACATCCCTCATCTTCTGTGGAGTGTAGCAGATCTCCTGTATATCTACACTATTAGATATCTATATGTGCAGCATACAGATTTGGACTATCGATATGGTTTTGTCTAATGAGTCATGGCATGTTTATTCACAGCCAGGTAGCACCAGTACAGGCTTGGGGCAGACCTGCTGGAGAGCAGCTCTGCGGAGAGGGACCTGGGTGTGCTGGTGGACGACAGGTTGACCATGAGCCAGCAGTGTGCCCTGGCTGCCAAGAAGGCCAGTGGCATCCTGGGGTGCATTAGGAGGAGTGTGGCCAGCAGGTCGAGGGAGGTTCTCCTTCCCCTATACTGTGCCCTAGCGAGGCCCCATCTGGAGTACTCTGTCCAGTTCTGGGCTCCCCAGTGCAAGAAGGATGAAGAGCTACTGGAGAGAGTCCAGCGGAGGGCTACAAGGATGGTGAGGGGACTGGAGCATCTCCACTACGAGGAGAGGTTGAG